TGTATATGACCGCTAGGGCCCTGACCTTCCTCGTCACTACTCGACCGAGGTTAGGCTTGCCACTTACTAGGTACCGCTGTGGGATACTCATGCCCTTTCCTGCACATGTTTTTGCATGTGCAGATCCAGTTACTTCCACTCAGTCTTATCACCCTTGAGGGGAGATGTTTTCTATAGAGACTTCGAGGTATATCTGCCGCGTCCGTAGACCGAGGAGCCCTTTCTATTCTCTGTAGTAGTATAGCCCCTCTGTATCTTTGTTATTGTTAGACATTTCTGGAGTTAGAGCATTTTATGTATTCTTAGCTTTTGATTCATGGGGTTCCGGATTTTTGGAGTGTTAGGTTGAATTTCTTGGAATGTTATATGCCGGACAGCATCTTATACACTGTTATACTTGTTATCTTGGGTTTTATTACTTTATTTTCCGCAATCATTTCTTTTTCGCATTTTGTTAGGCTTACCTAGTCGTAGAGACTAGGTGCCGTCACGACTGTTCACGGAGGGCAAACTTGGGTCGTGACAAGTTGGTATCAGAGCTCTAGGTTCATAGGAGTCATGAATCACAAGCCGGTTTATTAGAGACTCGCGGATCAGTACGGAGACGTCTGTGCTTATCCACGAGAGGCTATGTAACTGCTAAGAAAATTTCACTTCATTTGAATTCCTTGTCGTGCGAGATATTTGATATCGAAATTCTAAACTTTTGTCTTATGTTCTCTCACAGATGGTGAGGACATGTGCTACTGGAGGTGACCAGACACCCGCGCCCCCTGCGAGAGCCGTCAGAGGTCGGGGCCGGGGTAGAGGTCGAGGACGCGCACGCGGTGCAGCCAGAGCACCCGTGCGAGCTACTTCAGAGGAGCCACCAGCAACTCCAGCAGGAGCCCAAGCGCCTGATACGCCCATAGCTACTACTACTTTAGCGCTCCAGGAGACTCTGGCGCAGTATATGACTATGTACACCACTCTAGCTCAGGCAGGGTTGCTTCCCCTTGCTGCAGCCACATCCCAGGCCGGGGGAGGAGCACAGACTCCCGCCGCCCGCACTCCTGAGCAGCGAGTGCATGCTGAGCAAATCTCAGAGACTGTACCGGCACAGCCTGTAGCCCCAGCTCAGCCCGAGGAGAGGGAAATAGCTTCAGAGGAGGAGTAGAAGAGGCTGGAGAGGTTCAAGAAGTATCAGCCTCCTACATTCAGTGGACTAGCATCGGATGATGCTCTGGGATTTCTAGAGGAGTGCTACCGTATCCTCCGTACCATGGGTATATCAGGATCGAGCGGGGTTTCCTTCACTACCTTTCAGCTTCGAGGAGCCGCCTATCAGTGGTGGCGTTCTTATGAGTTAGATAGTCCAGATGAGGCAGCTTCCCTGACTTGGGCTCAATTTTCAGATATGTTCACGAGAGAGTATGTTCCCCAGAGTGTCGGGGATGCTTGGCACGCAGAGTTTGAGCATTTGCGCTCGGGTACCATGACTGTCTCGGGGTATGCTGTCCGTTTCACTGACTAGGCTAGACATGCACCAGCTTTTGTTTCTTCTATTCGCAAGAATGTTTGCCGGTTTATTGAGGGGCTCATTCCCAGCATCAGGTCTAGTATGGCTCGGGAGTTGGAGATGGATATTTCTTATCAGCAGGTGGTGAGCATTGCTAGGAGAGTAGAGGGTATGCATGCTCGGGACAGAGAGGAGAGGGAGGACAAGAGGTCCCGAGAGTCGGGCCATTATTCTGGTGCCCGTGCCCCAGCTTCAGCTCGTCAAGATAGGGGTTATATGAGTCACCCCATTCATTCAGCTCTTCCAGCAGCCAGTGGTATTCCAGCTCCTCCTAGGCCTCAGGAGCCTTATTATGCACCACCAGTATCTAGTGCGCCTCCTGCATGGGGTGCTTCCAGTGTCAGTCCAGCAGACTTGGCCCGAGCCAGTCACAGCTGCCACGTCCTCCTAGAGCTTGTTTTGAGTGTGGTGACACACGCCATATGGTGAGGGATTGCCCTAGACTTGGGAGGGGTGCACCTTCACAGACTTCTTAGCCACAACGCGCCTCGCAGAGTTCTCAGGCTATGATCACAGCAACGGTTGCTACCCCACCTACTCAGCCAGCTAGAGGTGGAGGTTAGGGAGGTAGAGATCGCCCTCGAGGGGGAGGCCAGGCCAGATACTATGCCCTTCCTGCCTGTACTGAGGCTGTCGCCTCCGATTCTGTCATCACAGGTACTATCCTGGTTTATCATAGAGATGCATCGGTTCTATTCGATCCAGGCTCTACTAATTCTTATGTGTCCTCTTATTTTGCCCCGTATTTGGGTGTATCTCGGGATTCTTTGAGTTCTCCTGTTTATGTTTCTACTTATGTTGGAGATTCTCTTGTTGTGGATCGCGTTTATCGGTCGTGTTTGATTGCTCTTAGTGGTTTTGAGACCAGAGTCGATTTGTTAGTGCTCAGCATGGTAGACTTTGATGTTATTCTGGGCATGGACTGGTTGTTGCCCCATTATGCTATTCTTGATTGTCATGCAAGAATCGTGACGCTGGCTATGCCAGGTGTACCGCGAGTAAAGTGGAGGGGTACTTTAGATCATACTTCCAGTAGGGTTATTTTGTTCCTTAAGGCTCAGTGTATGGTTGAGAAGGGGTGTGGCACGTATGTAGCTTATGTGAGAGATGTCAGTACTGATACCCCTACAGTTGATTCAGTCCCAGTAGTACGGGATTTCTCTGATGTGTTTCCAGCTGATCTTCCGGGCATGCCGCCCGATAGAGATGTTGATTTTGGCATTGATCTGTTGCTGGGCACTCAACCTATTTCTATTCCTCGTACCGTATGGCTCCTCCTGAGTTGAAGGATCAGTTAGAGGAATTGCTTGATAAGGGTTTCATTCGGCCCAGTGTATCACCTTGGGGGTGCTCCTGTCTTATTTGTGAAGAAAATGATGGTTCTATGTGTATGTGTATTGATTATCGCCAGTTGAACAAGGTTACAGTGAAGAACCATTATCCTTTGCCCCATATTGATGACCTGTTTGATCAGTTACAGGGTGCTTGTGTGTTTTCTAAGATTGACTTGCGTTCAGGCTATCATCAGTTGAAGATTCGGGAGCCAGATATCCCGAAGACTGCCTTCAGGACTCGGTATGGCCATTACGAGTTCCTTGTCATGTCATTTGGGCTGACCAATGCCCTAGCAGCCTTCATGCATTTGATGCACAGTGTATTCCGGCCATATCTTGACTCATTCGTCATTGTCTTTATTGATGACATTCTGGTATATTCCCGGAGTCGGGAAGATCATGAGCAGCACATGAGGACAGTGCTTCAGACTTTGAGAGAGAAGAAATTATATGCTAAGTTCTCGAAATGTGAGTTTTAGTTGGATTCCGTGGTATTCTTGGGTCACGTGGTATCTAGTGAGGGAATAAATGTGGATCCGAAGAAAGTGGAAGCAGTGCAGAGTTGGCCCAGACCATCCTCACCTACAGAGATCCATAGTTTTCTGGGCTTGGTGGGTTATTACCATCGATTTGTTAAGGGATTTTCATCGATTGCAGCGCCCATGACCAGGCTGACCTAGAAGGGTGCTCCATTCCACTGGACGGAAGAGTGTGAGGTGAGCTTTCAGAAGCTCAAGACAACTTTGACTACATCCCGTTTTGATATTACCTACTGGTTCGGGGTCTTATACTGTCTATTGTGATGCCTCGAGGGTTGGCCTTGGAGCGGTATTTATGCAGGACAGTAGGGTGATTGCCTACGCGTCCAGACAGTTAAAGGTACATGAGAAGAATTATCCTGTCCATGATCTCGAGTTAGCTGCTATTGTTCACGCCTTGAAGATCTGGCGTCATTATTTGTACAGTGTGCCTTGTGAGATTTATACTGATCACCAGAGTTTGCAGCATCT